ATATTTTAAATATATATAATATATACTTAAAAAAAAACTGTGTACAAAAATGAAAAATAATAAAGTAAAAAATGTACTAATAGTTAATTAGTAGAGTCAACTACTTTTTAATTGAGTTAAATAAAATGCCCAGAAATATATAAAACAAAGAAATATTTGGTGTGAACAGGTATTAAAATAAAAAGTAAATTTATTAATAATTTAATTTTTATTAATAAATAATAAAATATTTTCTATTAATAAAACACAAATAATTAAATATACAGTAAAAATAATTTTGTTGAATTAAGTTATAATAATGTTAAGAATCAAAAAAAAAATTCAAACAAATTTTTTAATAAAAGAACCAGTTCGTTAATTTAGGAGAATTAACATAAAAAGATGTTTTAATCAAAAAGAAAAACAGTTTTAATTTAAAAAGAAATTAATAAATATAAATTAAATAATAAATAATTAAATAATTGGGTTAATTAAGAAAAATAAATAAATTTAAAGCAAAAACTTGACATTACGAATTAGGTGAATTTACGAATTAAATTAATTTAATTAAGAAATAATGAATTAATTGGGTTAATTAAGAAAAATAAATAAATGTAGAGAAAAAACATGACATTAAACATAATTAATAAAGAAGTTAATGAAGTAATAAATAAAGAGTAATTAAAATAAATCAGTGTATAATAAAAAAATATTGTTATTAATAAATAATAAAATATTTGTTTGAAGAAATAAATAAATATAATACACAATAAAATTGAAAGCAAAAATCTTAAAAATCAAATTAAAAAAAAACAAAAATAATTTAATAATAAAACTTTTGGGTTAGTTGAAAAGAATTAATAAACAATGCGAAAAGATAAACCTAAAAGACAATGCGAAATTTTAAAAGAAGGAAATTAAATTTAATTAATTAAAAAATATTGAAATAATTAATAAATAAAGAGTAATTAAAATAAATCAGTGTATAATAAAAAAATATAGTTATTAATATATAATAAAATATTTGTGTAAATTACAAAGAAATAAATAAATATAATGCAGAATTTAATTGAGGACAAAATATCTTAAAAATCAAAAAAAAAAAAACACATAAGAAATAATGAATCTTTTGTGTTAATTAAGAATAATTAACAAATAAAAAAAGGAGAAAATAAAAAACAATTAGAAATTTAGGAAAAATTAAATAAATACATAATAATATAAAACTTTGATTGATTGAATTAAATATATACAGAAGAAAAAATATTAAATAAATAATATTAAAATATGATTATAAAAAAAGGATAATACACTGCGACCTAAAAGATCTATTGTACCCTAATGAAAATATAAAGAAATAAATTAAATTATAATTAAATATATGGGTTAATTAAAAACCGAATAAGTAAATATAGCGCAAAACAATTATCAAAAAAATTATCGAAAAAAAAACATATATTTTATAAATTTAAAAATGAATAAAATAAATAATTTAGTGATTAAGCTCTTATGTGTATTAAGTAGAACTAACAAATTTATAACAAAAAAACAGAAATATGTATATAATTAAAAATTAAAAACATTAACTAAATAAAAATAATACACATGGAATAATTAAAATTGAATATATTAAAATATATGTAGTATAGATAAGAAAACAAAAACAAAGAAAACAAAAGATATGTAAAATAAAAAAAGTAATATTATATAATAACTTAATTGGGTTATTTAAAGCAAAAATAAATACAAAGCAGGCACTGTGAAAGCAATAAATGCAAAAAAAATTACATATTAAAAATATAAGAAACATTTACTTTCATTTACAACTTAATTCCAAGACATCATTCACTCATAGTATTTTTTATTTTTACTTTAATATATAGTATAAAAAGTAACAATTGTCAATAGCCGCGAAAACCTAAAAGGTTTGAAAGCCAAACTTTAATAGGTCTATTTTTCATCGAAAAATGTTCCAAACCTTATCCCTTATCAATAAAAACTCCTATTCCTAAACTTGCATGTCGTGACTGAAATTCGACTGCATTCTTAAATATTTATTAATACAAATTACATATTTTGGCATTTTTGCGAAATGTGTTAAATTTGTTTTATTTACTTATTTAATTTTATATTCAAGTGTTTTGTATTTTTTTTATATATATTTTTATTTGTAACGAAAAAATCTTGCATGCGGCTTAGTTATAAGCTTGCTTACTTTTTTTTTGATTTCTTTGAATTTGGCGGGCAAAATTCAAAATAAGTTTTATTGCCGCAACAGTAGCTGAAGTTTGAAATCTTGAGTTACCGCTTATTTTACGGTTTTTTTTGTTGTACTATTTATCCACTGAACACAATAAAACAGACACTGTTTACTAACAATTATACATTTTTAATTTTTTTTATTATTTAAATATTTGCCTTTAATTGTTTTGAATACGTAGCACAGAACTTTTTCAAACAACTTTTGTCACTTCGAACTCTGAGGAAATCAAACATATCTCTGCGCAACGAACACCTTCTTACGCTAATACCGACGCACAACTGAATTTCGTCCTGTGACGGAAAAGAATTTTGGTCTCGTAGTTCAGAACGTCACGAAGCTATTACGGCTGTGTCAGCCGAATTGGGCTGCCTGCACTTCGGGAAAGCACGAACAGTACGATTCCTGCTTCACAGCAAATAGCAGTGTCCTGTTAGAGCGTGAATTTGTGGACACAATTGTGATAGGTTGTTTGTGGATGCCACAGGACCTGATGAGAAGTTCTTAAGAGTACACGGCATGGGAGAAAGTTATGGAGCGACTGTATCTGCTATGCCAAACGAGTGAAAGTGAATTTTTGCATAGAGTTCCTAACATTATATGAAAATTTATCCAAATGGGATCCACGAATAACTGCTTAACGTTTTTACTTAAAGGAACAATAACTGATAAGAATATTTGATAAGAGTGAACATTGGAAGATAAATTTTGAATAAATATATTGTTTCACAAAATATTTTAATAAAATATAAATTGTTTTTAAATATAAATAATAAATAATAATTTTTTTTTAATTTCTATTTAAATGACCAATTAGTCAACTAATAAAAAAATAATTATATATTGTTTTACTTTAAATTTAAATGATAAATAATATTTTTTTTAATTTCTATTTAAATGACCAATTCGCCCACTAATAAAAAAATTATTATATATTGTTTTACTTTAAATATAAATAATATTTTTTTTTTCATTTCTATTTAAATGACCAATTAGCCCGCTTATAAAAAAAATTATTATATATTGTTTCACTTTAAACATAAATAATAAATAATAATTTTTTTTAATTTCTATTTAAATGACCAATTAGCCCGCTTATAAAAAAAATTATTATATATTGCTTTACTTTAAATTTAAATAATAAATAATAAATAATAATAAATAATAATAAATAATAATAAATAATAAATAAATAATAATTTTTTTTTAATTTCTATTTAAATGACCAATTAGCCCGCTTATAAAAAAAATTATTATATGTTGTTTTACTTTAAATTTAAATAATAAATAATAATTTTTTTTTAATTTCTATTTAAATGACCAATTAGCCCGCTTATAAAAAAATTATTATATATTGCTTTACTGTAAATTTAAATAATAAATAATAATTTTTTTTTTAATTTCTATTTAAATGATCAATTAGCTCGCTTAAAAAAAAATATTATATATATGGTTTTACTCTAATGCAAATTTAATTTATTTTATTGTTTACTAGGTAGGTCATGTGCGAGTTCGAGTAAATTGATGGTAAATTGAGGGAAATAGTAAATTATGTAGTTATGGCAGCAAATGTTGATATTTAACAAAATTTCGAGTTGGGTAAATTAGATAAAAATAAAGTAAAAATTAGGCGTTACTATTGTGAAAATTTTATAAGATAATTAATAAATAAATAAATAATTTTGAAAACTTTTAACCAAAATAATAAATAATAAATAAAAAATAAGTAATAAATAAATATGTAAATAAATATAGTCAAATTTCCATAACTCGAAGTCCAATTTTGCACAGAAAAGGTTCGACTTATGGAGACTTCGAGTTAGAGAATTTCTTTATTTTTTTTTTATTTTTGAAAGAAACTAGAAGTACATTTCAAGATATTTATTTATTTGCAAACAAATAGAGTACAGAAGTTATAGTGAAGTAAAATATTCAGAAATTAGGGTTTAGTCAAGTCTCCGTATATTAAAGACTTAACATAATAATAATAATCATACTTTTATTAGAAACATATTAGCTATTGTTATAATGTATAGCTTATATAAGACACATAACATACTTAATAACTTTGAAAGGACCAAATTTATCATATTTCATTATGATTAAATTTAAGAATTTGTCGAGATTTAACAGAAAATGAATGATACTTATACATTATACCTGTCCTTTAGTTGTCTATCCCATTTTCGTGACCAAGGTTTTAGCCGATATCCAAAAAATCTAAAACGTTCGAAAACATGCAAATCAGTTTAATTTTGTGAACAAATGGTAAAGGTATAATTAATTGACCATTTCAAGAAAGCCATACAAAAACGAGGTAAGAAATTATAGATATATAGCAAAATAATCCCTTCTAATACTTGTAGATCAATCAATTTCTTTTAAACTAATAGAATACAAATCGATAACTTCTAACCTTTCAGTTTACAGATAGATTCACATACCTATATTAAACTTTTTCTTTCATTTATGAAATCCTAACAAACTTTAAAAACTTTAAAATCTTTTTTTTCTTTTATAGCTTCAAAATAATAGTCCAGGATTTTGTTCAATTATTCAAGGGTCTTACTATTGGCCCAAAATACCCAAAAAAAAAACTGTAAGAATATTATTTCTCATTTATTTCGGTTGTTGTAGAATTCAAATTAATTATTGCTATTATGCATTTATGTATAAAAATGGTGGCTATATTTATGTTTAATCAGTCTTTCTTAAATAAATAGAATCTCACTATAATTTATCCATTGAATGTACAATTATTCTAAACTTCAGTAAAGTCAGCAGTCCGTTTGTCGCGGCTTTCGCGGCGTGCTTTGGTGCGTGCCTTAGAGGTTGCAATATTCTTTCTATTGCGATTGAATTTGCTATGCTTTTGTTTGACTAATTCTGCAGTGTCAGTGACTTTGTCACCTATTAGAAAAACACTTCGAAAAAAATTATTAGATGATAGATGTGTATTCATTCCGCCTCCCATCAATCCACAAACCACAGCATATAGATGATGCGCTCTCCAGGTATCCAATACAAGAGTTTCGTTTCCAAAACGAATATCAACTTTAGGTGTAACATCTTCCTCTAGATAAAGTAACATATTTCTAAATGCCAAGTGTTGAGTCTTGCGTTTACGTTTAGAGTGGTGTTTATGAGAATCTTTGGCCAACTTTTTGAAATCGTCTATAAGATCTGCAAGATATTCCAACAAAAATGTTTTCTCATTCAACCGTCCACATTCTACAATTATTACTAAAGCTTGTCCAGCTGCAATACGCACTTTCAAATGAGGTGACTTTAACAAACCCTTAAGATTATCCAGAGAAGGAAACAGTAATCGACCATCAGTCATCCATAATAGGATAAATCTGCTAGGCAAAAGTGAGAAAATTAGTGCCCAAGATAAAAGAGCTGCAGCATGAAGATCTCCTGCTTCAGCGCTTACTGCGTTTGGTTTTTTGTTCTCGCCTGACAAGTAACTATCAGTGAAAATGGTTTCATAAAGCTTCATCAAATTAAGAAACTCTTCGTTATCTGCGGCACTCAGATAATAAAGTAATCCCAAAGCACTGCAATACTCAGCGCGTGTTGCAAGGGAAACTGATTTATCTTTGACACCAGTCCAAATGATTGGGCTTAAGGCATTTAATACGGTATCTTCTCCATTTAGTTGCAGTGCAAGCAACGGTGCAAGTCTTGCACTGAATATTTGCTCTGAGCGATTACCATGACGCAATGATTTCTCTGCGCAATCAATAAGCGTCATCTTCCACTCTTGAACAGCATCGGGAACAAAGTAATATATAAGTGTATCACAAATTCTTTTCAGACCCGCTACTCGAGTTTGTGCAGATTTTGCACTTGCATTTTCAATCTCTTTCGCGAACTCCTCTTCAAAGCTTTCGTCAGGAGAATTGGTTCCTGAAGTTTCGGTATCTTCGTCTGATGAAGACTCATCGCTATCCTCTTCGCCATCGGTTGAAGCAGTTTCTTCGGAACTACTCATTGATAATGTAGTATTTTCTGATTCAGTTGTATGTGCACAAGTGTCATCATTGGTAGAACTCTCCTCAGAATCTGTAGTAGCAGAACTATGCGGTATTTTCTTCTTATTGGGGCGCACCATAATTCCGTTTTCAGCTATTTTTCACTTTAATCCTATAATCTTATAGTAAGAAAAGCTTCAGGTTTGAATTTAAATTTTGTCGTCTTCGATTCAATTTGCACGGTGATTAATCATGACTGAATGGCCACATTTACATTGTTTAATGCAAAAACTGACGTCTACCTTATGTTCATGCTCAGCCAAATAACTTCCAAATGTAGAGCCAAATGTAGTTGCGCTTGAAAAAGAGAGGCTAATTTCTACTTCCAATTTTGAATTTAATGTTTTAGGTGTGTTATCTGAATATTGATTGCCGGTTCCTTGGGTGAACTATTTGAAAAGAAAATTTGTACTGATCAATAGCTGACCAAAAAAAAAATATAACAATTTCTTTAATTGAAATTTAAATCAAAGAAACTGTTTTCATTTCATTTAATATTGTTCTTTTACAATGTAAATGTCAGTACTCTACATTTTTAATGACACTTGAATTTCTATATGATTTTTTAGAAAGTTCTATAGTCTTTTTCCATGTTCGTAATATTTATTGTACACTCGTTGAATTCGAGTTATTCATGACTTCTACCAATCTTAATATTTTTTATTCTGCTACTAACATAGCTAGTTCAGATCGACTTCTACAAATACTATATATACAGTAACATTCGTCACTTGAATCTAACCAAACCGCCTTCACAAACACCCAAATAGGTTGTTCGAAACCAGGACGTGACAACAAAATGACGCAAAAGCACTAATAACATTTATGGATTTGACTTCTACTTTTACATACCACCTATAGCCATCAGAGATTCTTTGTTTTCATATGGGTGCCATTAAGATTCAAATGAATTACTGATATTCCATGGTTAAACGGCTTAAATGATCAAATCATTCCCTTACATCAAATCAAAGAAGTAAGTGACTTATTACAGAAAATATCCGTACCATTGTTTAAATGAATATTCCATTTTTCGATGGATCCTTTAGTGTATCTTAAAATTGAAAATAAGTTACAGGAGAAATTGAAAAATTATTTAAAAGTATAACCAATTATTTTCATGGCAAATTAACAATTTATTACTATATGATATGATATCTATATGATATCCACTATACTGCTTATTCATAAAATTTAGTAACACTGAAGACAGCATAGCTAGAGAAGAATTATAAAAATTCATGAGACAATTTAAAATTGCAATCAAACTAACACGACTATTTAGATTGGGTAAGAATCATTTAGATTGCTAACCGAATCAATCAATAGACTCCGATAAGGGAGTGATCAAGTTTGTGTCCTTTTCAATCCATCGTTAGAGTAGCCAAACTAACATTTTTATAGTATAAGAAAAATGTTATCGACTCGAAAACCAGTCAGATATTGGCATACGTAGATGATATTGACATTTTCGGTAAATCCAAATCAACTATACAAAAATCCTTCTATCAAATAGAGATGGAGACATGAGAATGCGACTGCACATTAACGAAGAAAAGATGAAGTACATATTGGTTTCGATTGCAATAAGAACATTTATATCTGGAATTGAATTGTAGCAACTGAAAATAACATGGAGAACGAAATGTGTGACTGGTTCCTTAACAGGGCAATTCCGCCAACGTTCCTTCAGTTCATCACACTCAAACATCTACTAAAAGGACATTTGAAAAATCTGTCGTATTCTGGTAGGTGTATTTTGAAAGACTGACAGCCCTTTTCGATCTTTCTAAAAACCAACATTTATTTAGCATTGATTTATTTATCTATTAATTGAGTTCAGTAAATAATTATTTATTTATTTAAATAATAATAATAATAGAATACACATCTAGCGGCTTACCATGTCATTTGTATTAAAATTCAATTATTTACGATTTAGCGTTTAGCAGCTGTTTTCTATAACGATTTACTTGTAATAAAATTTTTTTTTAAAAAGTTTTATGCCAGAATAGCTGAAATCTTACAAACGATCTTCTGACCGATCTTACAAAGATCTTGCAAAAGACTTTTAACGATCTTTGACAGAATTGCTACGTAGTTTAATCAAAAGGCTTCTGTGATCTGCAATGACGATAATCACTGCGACTTCAAAGACTAGTTCTCTAGAGTGGCTGCCAATATTATGCAGTGTGGTGTCCATAGAAGTAGAAAGAAAGTATTCTTTCTCTTGTGTAGGTATATAATAAGACCACAATAAGTACACTACGCTGCCATTTATTTCCGAAAGTCGAAGAATTTTTCTTGGCATCCCACAGATCGGTTCACTTTACAAAAAAAAATAATCTGTGTAAGATTTTAGTTCAATTAGATAAGTGGAAATGGCACCACAAGACCCCTAAATATTGGAAAAAAACCAGAAAGTCTAACATTTAGATAGTTGTATACATAATTGTGTTTCTGTGTTATTCATGGGAATACGAAGTGAATTTTAGTAACCTGTCTGTGTCAATAATGGTATTTTATCATCTTTCTGAACTCTCGACTGCTAAAACTCATTTCTGTAAAAGAATTCAAAGTGATTACATTAAAAAATGTTACTCAGATGTCTTCTATAATTTTGTTTAAAAATATATACCTTGTTAGTTATCATTCTAGTGGGTTGACTGGTAGTAAATTATCATCAAATAGGGAAGACTTAAAGTTCTTTTCTTTTAATATGCACGGGGTTAAGTTATCGTTTAGGGAAAATGCTAGATTAACTATATAAAAAGTTATCATATTTTGCCAAAAGGGACGAATACCAATTAAAGAACAAAAACATTGCATAAATAAACTAAAAAACCTACATCAAAAATGGACAGATTTGCAAAAATATGCTAATAGAAAAAACTTAAGAGGTCAGCAAAAAGAAGTAGAATTCATAAAACGATTGAAGGCATTATTCCATTCGACACGACTAGAGGTCAACGACGAGAGGTTCGACCAAGTTACATGTATGGCCTAGATTAAGAAGAAATTCCAAGCGAAACAAGAAGTGAAGAAAAGAATCAAATACTTTTACAAAGAAGAGAACGCTGCATATGGCAAATGTGCCGGAAGAGCACATTTGTAAATCAATTTGTGAATGGGGTTTGCAGGGTCACGTCCAAGCTTTAGTTTTTGATACGATAGCAGTACACACTGGTCGTTTTAACGGAACTTACTGAATTACTGAACAGCATTTGGAAAGAGATCTTTCATATTTAGGTTGCAGACATCCCATTAACGAAATTATTCTCAAAAGTGTTTTCCATGCTAAAATTTGCCAGTCTGAAAGCCTGAATGTTGAACTATTTCAACGCTTTCAGAAGTTTTGGCCGAATATAAACGTTGATAATTTTACAGTCGGCTTAGAAAATGAAAAAGTAAGAAAATTGTTGAACACAGATGATGTGCTACGAATTACAAGTTTCCTTAATTCGATTCGTAAGGTTAACCAACCAAGAGATGATTATAGGGAACTTCTGGAACTTGCATTAACATTTTTAGAAGAAAAGTCAAACTGCAGGATAAATTCTCGATCTCTTGTGGCTATACAAAACGCAAGATGGATGGCGAAAGCTATATATATATTAAAAAAGTGTATATTTAGGAAAAAGTTCAAATTACTTACAGAAGAAGAAATTGCCGATATAAGTATATTTATTATTAAAGTGTATGTTAAAGTATGGTATAATGCTTCGTTATCAGTCACAGCTTCTTTTCAAGATTTTAATCTTCTTTCTACTCTCCATCAACGTGAAAAAATGTTATGGAGATATATCTTAAGTCGCTTTGGAGAAATTATTCAATCATCTTTGGTATTTAAGGTCAGAGCTTTTTCGTTTTGCTTTTTTGGATTTAAATATATCCCCTGAGACAAAGACAAAGATGGTTTCGAATTTGAATATAGAAAGTAATGATATGGAAGTCAGTAGAGTATCAATAGATCGCTCAAAAATTACTGAAATCGTATACAAACATAGTAAAAATATTTTTAATCGTTTCAAATTGTGCGTTGACTTCTTGAAAATATGTCCCACAAAAAGGGCATAAATACCTTAGTTTTATTTTAGCAATCAAATTCAAATTTTATGAAAGAAATGGTTTTTTTCCAATATTTAGGGCTCTTGGGGCGCCATTTTCACTTATCCAATTGAATTAATATTTTACACAGATTATTTTTTTAGTAAAATGATCCGATCTGGGGGGTGCCGTCAAAACAATCTTTGAAAAAAACAATTGCCCATATAGCTTAATGCCACCCTAAAGCACTACTAAAGTACTCTAAACTTAGCCATACATGTTCGAATTCCAAATGATCAAAAAACGACACACTAGGTACCCAAAATTGAAGATTTTCAATCGATTCATGGTTTAGTTAGACTGCGCGCATATAAAAACTTATTGATTTACAGCTCAATATCTCAAGAATGAAGCCATATCTACATAAATTGCAGACCGCACCAGAAAGTTATAAGGCGTCCCAGAAATTGTAATCATACTGGATCTTGTCGTTTCTTATACATATATCAATAGTTAGTATAATTTTTAATACATATTTGACAAGCATGCGAGATTGTGTCAAAATTAGTTAGAAATGAAAATAAAAATTTTTCTTCAATTGTCAATATTAAATTAACAACTAACATACATTCGTCTTCATAGTTCTATTGCTGTAATACACCTGAGTTTCTTACGTGAGTTTCTTTCTTTACGGCGGATATTGTGAATTTTATCATGGCAAATTCGTCAAACTCAAATATGGGTGAGTAAATATTTTTTTCAATGTTGTGTGATGAGAGATAGAGAGATGTGAGTATTTTTGAGGTTATATTATATATAAGGGGCGGCATTAGTGTATCATAAATATGATTGAATTTGCTAAAAGTCTTCAAAAAATTTATATTTTACATTTATTTGATTAGTTTTTAAAATTTTTGCTAATCCCGGTTTTATGTGTTATGAAATATTTTATTATAGTAAAAAGTGTATACTTTTTTAGTCGCAAAATTGGTTTCTTTAAGAGTCAAGCATTTATTTTCTTCTTATGATTCGATTTCGTATTAAAAAATAAATTTCTTTTTTTTTCAGATAATGTGGTTAAATCATCCACTGAAAGTGGTTCAAGTAGTGAAGCATCCACTTTCACTGATGAAAAGGCTGATAAAAAGGTCAGAAAGTTTCAACCCGCACTCTTAGATGCTGCTGAACGTCGTCATTTTCTTCATGAGATGGTGAAAAGCTTCCCGCAATCAATAAAGGACCGTATAACGGTTTTGAAGAATATTCAGTTAGAACAAATTGCGATTGATTCTGAATTGTACAAGGAAATTAATAACTTGGAGGTAAAGTACGTTACCAAGTTTCAAAAGTTTTATGATCAGAGATTTGAAATAGTTTCTGGAAAATTTGATCCACCAGAGCAAGATCCAAAATGGAAGGAACCCCCTTGTGATGAAAATGCAAAAGGCGACCATGACCATGATCAAGCATTTAATGACTACAAGAACCTATCGAATGACTCCATCGGCATTCCTAGTTTTTGGTTAGAGGTGTTGCGCAGTGTGGATGTGGTTGGTCATTTGATACAGGACCATGACGTACCAATCTTGCGAAAACTGATCGATGTTAGAGAAAAATGCGGTAAAGAAGACTCTTTTGCTTTAGAATTCCATTTCGATCGCAATGATTACTTCACTGATGAGGTTCTTATAAAGAAATACTTCTTCAATATCGAGCCTAATAAAAAAATGCCGTTTCAATATGATGGGCCAATAATATGGAAGAGTGAAGGTTGCCTTATCCATTGGAAGAAAGATATGAATCTAACGTTAAAAACAGTGAAGGAAATCTCTAAAGATGATGCCAATAAAATGATATTTAAAAATGTTCCACGTCGGTCGTTTTTCCATTTCTTTAATCCACCGCTGGAACAGAATACAGAATCTATAGATAAAGATATGAAAGAGGTATTAAACATTGATTATGATTTGGGACTCGTATTTCGTTCACGTATCATATCTAGAGCAGTTTTATACTTCACCGGTGAACTGCCTGAACTTGATCCATGTGCATGTAATGAAGATGACTCGGAAAATGAAGAAACTGACGAATCGAATAATAAGAAGGATTTGAATGATTCAGATGAAGGGGGCGCTGCTGGAGGTGATGCTGGAGGTGATGCTGCTACTGCCTTCGATGGTGCAACTCATGATGCTAACCCATTATTGAGCAATCAATGTAAACCTCAATAAAATTTACTAACATTTAACTAAAATATTTCTTAACCACATATATATATCTCTTATAAAATGCATTTAAGAATTTCAATAAATTTCAAATTCATTTAGCTTGTTTTTTTTTTTTATTTTTTTGAAAGAAAATGTATATAAAAATAGTTGCTAGCATTGTTGTGATTTGAGTCCTGCAATACCTTATCTGTATTTCTTACTTAAATATTTCAACAGAATTCAACTATAACGACTGTAGTCAAATAAATTATATAGTAAGGTTTTGATCCTATTGGAATGAGGCTATGGATAATGCTCAACATTGTTCTGTGAGTGCTCTTGCTTTGAAGAGGTATAGTGCTCATCTCTTGCCTATGCGCGGAACCCATAGTTGTTGACAGTAAGGTTCTTTAGCAGTTCATGTTATTTTTATTATTAGCCTAATGACACCTCAGCGTACTCTTGGGATCAATCTTATGTCTTGAATCAATCAACAAGTGCTGATTGAACAGTAGAGAACCACGGAGCATTGTGAATATCAATCTGTGTGAATCAAGCTAATCTTAATTTTTCTATTAGTACGAAATATAGCAAATATTTTAAAGGTTTTATAATATACGGTAAATAATAATAAACGGTATTTGATTGAATATAATACTGTTGCCAAATGCATTCTTCAAACATGGTGAAAACTTTTCCTAAGGCGATTCAAAATCGCATTACAGTTTTGAAGAATGTTCAAATTGATCAAAGTGCGATAGACTCTGAATTCTACAAGGAAATTCGAGGAAATTAACGATTTAGAGATAAAGCACACCGCCAAGTGTCAACAGTTTTATAATCAGAGATTTGAAATAATTTCTGATAAGTTTGATCCAAAAATGGAAGTAAGTTTGAAGCAAAATGGAAGGAACCCCTTAATGATGAAAATGCAAAAGGCGACCATGACCATGACCAAGCATTTAAAGACTACAAGAACCTATCGGATGACTCCATACCTAGTTTTTAGTTAGCGGTATTGTGCATTGTAGATGATCCAGGTGAATAAAATGTTGTCTAATATTTCTTTATGTATTTTTCATTATTTGTGTCGTCTACATAACAACTATACGATATACCCAATATAGAATATCAGTGCAATTATACCATACCCATTTAAAAACTTCCGATTAAATATTTTCTTAGTTTTAAAGGACAATGTAAAGACTGCATGGCTGTATGGCTGCATGGCTGCATATCTTATCTTATGTTACTCTCAAGTAATTCACTGCATATTCATTTACAGGATAGGCCGCTACATATGTATTATTAAGGTTTATATGAAAGGAGTGCTTTTAAACAACATAATAGATTAATAACAGAAATAACTACAGGATATAATGTCGTGTGTTCCATTGTTATCGACCAAGGTACATGAAATCGTTTTCCATTCATTTGATCATTTGATAGACATAGAGACGGTTACGGATCATAGTGGAAATGCGTAATCTATACACCTCTTATCTCTTAGCACCTATCTGTAGTATTCTTTTGGAATTATTTTCAATTTTGAAAAATTATTGCAAAATATTTTAGATGAATTATGTTATACAAATATACAAATACAAATATACTTCTAATCATATTTTCTATTCTATAGAAATTTATTTCATAAAAATTTTGGAACAATTACAATATTTGAAAAAAAAAATAATAAAATTAAACACTCAAACTGCATTCAAGCATTCAGAATGTTTTATTTTAAATCTGCACTTGTAACCTCTTCTTCATTCTCTTCTTTCGAACCACTTGATTTGATTGGAACCACTTCTGGAACACTTGATTTTAAATCTGCACTTGTATCGCCTGCTTCATTCTCTTCTTTCGGACGACGTGAATTGATTAGAACCTCTTTTGGAACGCTTGATTTTAAATCTGCACTTGTATCGCCTGCTTCATTCTCTTCTTTCGAACTACTTGATTTGATTGGAACCACTTCTGGAACACTTGATTTTAAATCTGCACTTGAATCGCCTACTTCATTCTCTTCTTTCGGACGATATGAATTGATTGGAACCTCTTTTGAAGTGTTTGATTTTAAATCTGCACTTGTATCGCCTGCTTCATTCTCTTCTTTCGAACCACTTGATTTGATTGAAACCACTTCTGGAACACTTGATTTTAAATCTGCACTTGTATCATCTGTTTCATTCTCTTCTTTCGGACGACGTGAATTGATTGGAACCTCTTTTGGAGTGTTTGATTTTAAATCTGCACTTGTATCGCCTGCTTCATTCTCTTCTTTCGAACCACTTGATTTGATTGGAACCACTTCTGGAACACTTGATTTTAAATCTGCACTTGTATCGCCTGCTTCATTCTCTTCTTTCGGACGACGTGAATTGATTGGAACCACTTCTGGAACACTTGATTTTAAATCTGCACTTTTATCGTCTGCTTCATTGTCTTCTTTCGGACGACGTGAATTGATTGGAATCTCTTTTGGAACGCTTGATTTTAAATCTGCACTTTTATCGTCTGCTTCATTGTCTTCTTTCGGACGACGTGAATTGATTGGAACCTCTTTTGGGACGCTTGATTTTAAATCTGCACTTGTATCGTCTGCTTCATTTTCTTCTGTCGGACGACATGAATTAATTGGAACCATTTCATTAAGTAGCTTGCTTTGAAGACTTGATAATTTATTTTTCAGTTCCCGTACACCCATAAGCACAATATTTTCTGGTTTTAAAGCACCTGTGGTCTCCACATTAAAATAAATTTTGTTCGGTTCGGTGTCGAATTTGTATGCTGCCTCGAACTGTTCATCAGTCAGTTCGGTATGTTCACTTTTTGGCCACTCCTTTGGTTGAGGGTAAGTAGTATGACGGAATTCATTATCGGGATCATATTCGAAGCATACGCCGCCTGTTGGATTCCACTTAGCATGTTCTCTTCCAATACCTTTCTTAGCCATGGCACATAACTTAAGCTCTTGACCTTTTCGTAATTTCACAATTAAAATACTGTCTTCATATATATCATTTTTATTATCTTTTTCGTCTACTTCGTTCTCTTCTTTCGGACGACGTGAATTGATTGGAACCACTTTTGGAATGTTTGATTTTAAATCTGCACTTGTATCATTTGCTTCATTCTCATCTTTCGGACGACGTGAGTTGATTGGAACTACTTTTGGAACTCTTGATTTTAAGTCTGCACTTGTAACATAACGAGTTTTTTCGGCATCGCACTTTACATCGAGTGTAAATTCCACACTACAACTATCACAAAAATCTGAACAATCGCAATTCCGCCAGAACTTTAGTTGCTTTACCATATCATCAGAGATTAATGGTATTAACCCAAGACGGTGGGCAATGAATTCATCTGAAAGAACTGACGAATTTTTCTCTATTTGAACCCAATCGATAGCAAGCGTTGGGGTTTCAGCAATGAATACACGGCGTAAGCTATTGGCGACGCTCAAATCAGTGCCTTCCACAACGAATTTGACATTTTCCTTCGTCAATTCCTTGATTTCGACTGTAGGTTGATTTCCGTACGGCATTGCAATATTTTTATGAATTTTCAATGTTAAAATAAAGAAAATCCTCGTGGCGCAAACTACTAATGCAACTAATGCTTTTTACTGTCAGAATGAAAATTATTTAGAGTTGCCAGTTCACGCAAATAAAATAAATTGCATAGAATAATAAATAAGATTGTTGTTTTGGCGCGTTTTGGCGAAACAAGACACTCCAACTGCGGACGCTCCGTTTTTATCTAAATTTAAATCTAAAATTTAAAGAAACAATTTTAAATAAGTGCACACAAAGATTAAATAATACACGTACACTCTAGTTGTCGCGATCCGTGTCAGCAAAAGTGCGGTTTGTGTGATTAAATTGCAAAATATACTTCTAAATTTTGGTTTTAATAAAAAACAAAAAAAATCAAAACAAATTAATCAAAAGCAATAAAATTGCTGAAAGTTACTAATACTTTCAAAACAGCTGATAGAGACAGCATTTGTTTGTTTATTTTTTTAACGAAAGTTGCAATTTATAAAAGTGGCGTTGCCACAGTGTATATTTTTAATTCTTTTGTAAAAATTTAATATTCTATATATATACTATATAATCAGTGATCATCAAACTAAAAAATTTTATTCTTTTAATATTTAATTTTTTATGAACAATTGTAAAAGTAATATACGAAGACATTCACTAATAAGTGAAAATGGCCTAAATGGCTACATAACATTTAATGCAGAAGACATTAAAATAAACGATCAACCTATAAACAAAACTATAGGTAAATCGAATACCGAAATAAACATTAAAAAAACCGCTAGTGAGATTGCTATAGCAAATAAAATTAAATTAATTAGTAATAAAAATAATAATTTAAACAAAATTTCTCCAAACAGTACAAAAGATATAGATCCATACGAAATTAACATGTCCACAAACACCAGCCACACTAATGACAAAAATAATGAAGCTCTTAATAAAAAAATGAGAGAATTAGAAGTCTTATGCGGCAAACTTCATCAAGAAATTATCCAACTCAAAAGTGAAAACCAAAAATTAAGGTCGCAACTTATTAACAATAATGTTCCGAAAGAGCAAACCACCATAACTTTCGAAACAGACGAGGAAGAGCTTGCCCGTGAAACCGACTGGATCGTTAAAAGAAATAATAAAAGAGCCTCAAAAAAGCGCAAAGCTACTACATCTCCAAGTGTGTCACCAACTCTCAACAATATGACACAAAAGCATTCTAAAGAAACGGAAAAGACATCAACCCAGCTTCGTCCACCTCCAATTATGGTAACTGTCTCTGATAATTACAATCACATAAGAAAAATTATTACAAAGGAAAGCAAAAATAAATTTTTGCTGAAACTAATGAATAACGACTTATGTAAAATTAGCACTTTCGATGGTAACGATTATCGGGAAGTAACTCGAGCTCTAAATGAAGCAAATCTCTCATGGCACTCTTATGAACATAAACAGCTTAGACCAATAAGAGTTATAGCAAAAAACCTGCATCACTCATGCGACCCTACAGATATTGTTGGCGACCTTGCAGAAAAGGGTTTTAAAATTGTCAGCGCAATTAATAAGCTACAATTTAAAACTAAGAAACCACTGGATATGTTCATATTATCCTTTGAGGCAGTAGAAGATACGAACAAAATCCATGAAATCAAAGAAATCTTAAATACGATAGTATCTATAGAAACAATAAAACCCTCTAAAATTATCCCGCAGTGCACCAAATGCCAATCTTTCAACCATACCAAAAACTACTGTCAAAAGCAGCCAAGGTGTGTGAAATGTGCAGGTAAGCATGAAACCATAAATTGTGAAAAACCCGATGATAGTCACCCAAAATGTTGCAACTGTGGGGAGCAACACCCAGCGTCATATCGCGGTTGTGTAGTCGCAAAAGAGCTTCAAAAATTAAGAGACCAAAAAACAAAAAAAGTTCCTGTCCCAGTTCAAACAGATAATATCGAAAGACCAATAATATACTCAAGTCGAAGAATCGCTAAAGTATCATATGCAGACGCTATTAAGCCAACAACCTCCGTAGCCCAAAAAATAAATATATCTGATGAATCACAAAATGTCCTCTCTGTTATTCTTGAAAAACTAATGGCAATAGAAAATCGCCTAGACAACTTAGAACAAAAACATAATTGTACATCTGTATGATTGCTCTTAAAATTATGGAATGGAACGCAAATGGTTTGCTTCAACACAAAAACGAATTAGAATTACTTCTGCTAACAGAAAATATAGACATATGCCTAATAAGCGAAACTCATTTTACAAAAGAAACGTATATCAATTTTAAAAACTATAATATTTATCATACTATTCATCCAAGCAATAATGCTAGAGGCGGAAGTGCTGTTATAATTAAATCCAACATTAAGCATTATCAAGATAATAAACTCTCTAATGAAGAGTTCCAGACAACAACCGTTGCAGTTGAAGAGAGTGGTTCCAAAATACAAATAACGTCCATCTATAGTCCACCAAGACATAACGTAAAATATGAACAATACGTAGATCTATTAAAATTACACAATCATAAAGCAATAATTGGTGGTGATTTTAACGCAAAAAATGTTCAATGGGGGTCAAGACTAAATACCACAAAGGGTAAGGAATTACTTAAAGCATGTCGGGCCACAGGTTTTGAAGTTCTCTCCACTGGCTCTCCAACATACTGGCCAACTGATAGAAATAAATTACCAGATGTCATTGATTTCTTTATTGTAAATAAAATTCAAAAAAGAGACATTGAAGCAGGACTTGACTTAAATTCTGATCATTCTCCAATATTGCTTACTTATGGATGTAATATTCTATCTATGATACCTAAACCGACACTAACAAACCGTCTAACAGACTGGAATTATTTTAAGGCCCAGATAAATGAAAATATTGACCTATCCTGCAAAATACGAAGTATAAATGACATAGAGAGTGAAACGCATTGCTTTACAAGCTTGATTCAAACATCGGCATGGCGCAGTTCTCCACTGCAGAATAGTAAGCAATTTGATAAAAACTATCCGGTCGAAATTTTAAATCTAGTCTATAATAAAAGAAAACTACGTAAAAAATGGCAACAATCACGATTAATACAAGATAAAAGAAACCTTAATAATGCTACTCAAAAATTAAGAAGAGAAATCAGTAATTTTAAAAATGAAAATGTTAAGAAATATCTTACAAACTTGACATATGATAGCAAAACTAACTATTCTCTCTGGAAAGCTATGAAAAAATATAAAAGACCGATCACTCATAATCCTCCATTAAAAAAAGATAATAATGAATGGGCGAAAAGCAACATTGAAAAGGCACACGTTTTGGCTGAATATTTAAGTAATACCTTCAATCAAGAAGAAACCCATCATACATATAGAGCCAAATAACAACATAGATGATGAAGCTATTTTGCGGATAAAAAATAAAGAAGTAACTGGGGAAATCAAAAAATTGAAATTAAAGAAATCACCAGGATATGACCTCATAACTAGTGAAGTGTTGAAAAAGCTACCTCCAAAAGGAGTAGCCAAACTTGCACAGATATTTAATGCGAGTATAAAATTAAATCATGTCCCTAACTATTGGAAAGTTGCTGAAGTGGTGATGGTACTAAAACCAAATAAGGACCAACATTCTCCAACTTCATATAGACCAATCTCTCTCCTGCCAACCATAGGAAAACTGTTCGAAAAGCTTATCTGTAAAAGACTTGAAAAAGTAGTTTGTCAAAGAAATCTTATCCCAAATCATCAGTTTGGATTTCGGAAAAAACACTCAACAATCGAACAAGTACACAGAGATACGCACGAAATAGAAAAGGCATTAGAAAACAAAGAAACTTGTTCAGCTGTGTTTCTGGATATATCAAAGGCTTTTGATGGGGTTTGGCACTCTGGCCTGATATATAAGTTAAACACTATCCTGCCACAGCAATATTGTAAACTACTGGTATCGTATATTGGCGAAAGGTACTATCGAGTTAAACTACTTGACGCGTATTCGAAATTATATCCTATAAATCGCGGGGTCCCTCAGGGGAGTATACTAGGCCCATTGCTGTACCTGCTGTACACATATGATTTGCCAGTGAATCCAAGATGTATTGTTGGAACTTTTGCAGACGACACGGTATTAATGGCTACAGGTCCAAACAACAAGGTGTCTACCACTAAGCTTCAAATCGCTCTTCAAGAAATTGAACAATGGACAAATAAATGGAAGCTGATAGTAAACAGTTCAAAATCTAATCATGTAGACTTTACTAACAAAAGAGAAAATCAAATTGCATTATTTCTAAATAGCGTTAAAATTCCAGTTGCAAATTCTGCGAAATATCTAGGTATGACTCTAGATGCCAAACTGAGATGGAAGGTACACGTCAAGAAAAAATTAAATGAACTAAAAATAAGATACAAAAAGTTAACTTGGCTTATTGGAAGGAGATCTAAATTATCTCAGCAAAACAAGCTTATGATCTATAAACAAGTCTTCAAGCCGGTCTGGCTCTATGGCGTCCAAATCTGGGGTTGTGCGAAGAAACATATAATAGATATGATGCAAAGATTTCAAAACAAAGCAATCAGAGATGCAGTTAACGCTCCGTGGTACGTGCGAAATTCTGATTTACATCGTGACCTAAAAATACCTACTGTCAAACAAGAAATTCAGAAGGCTGCTAAAAAACATTATGACAGGCTGAGACAACACTTAAACAGCACCATTCCAGCGCTACTTTGTGATGTCACTCACAGACGCTTATGCCGCTTCAAACCTAATGACCTTTTGAGGCGTTTCAACCAGCAAGGTGATGACTAGTTCGTATCTATATGCTCACCCTAGATAGACTTAGATAAATTTACTTGTAATAAAAAAAAACCTCTTGTTAGTCAATATGACTAGTTGTTGTAAATTTAAACTCTTCATTTTGTTTAAATATAAAAAAAAAAAAAAAAAAAAAAAAAAAATAGAATAATAAAAACAATAAGACCTTATTCAGATGTTGGAATATAATGAAACATATACACGAATTGGTGTTTGTAATTAAGTAATTTAAGAATTATAACAAATTAAAACAAATTATAAATAAATTATCAAATGAATAAGACTAACAATAATTCATCATTAATATTAGACACGATGATTGCACATACCACAGATCTGCCATCCATACTTAATAAGTTTTTTAGTTCGAAATATGAAACCGTTTGAGTTTATTTTATATAAGTACTGTTAAAAAATTGAAAAATGACAAAAAATTTTAAAAATTAGTGAACCGTTTACTTCTCACATTGTTTCACATGATTTAAGGCGAAACATGTGGAATGCAACCACTAACAATAAATTTCCCACATGGGAAACTACAAGGAAAAAT